AGGATAATTAAATCAAGGAGGAGCAGACGAATGAAACATGCAATACGAATAAAGAAGTCGGTAATTTGGATCAGGAAACCTCATGAGAGTCTACGCGGTACAACTAGGTATAAAAGGAGAAAAATATTAAAACATATAGGAATAAACTGGATGTGAGCATGTGAACTGAATTTGCAGGGTCCAGTGTTGAGCTTCCGTGAAAGTGGCAATGAATGTTCTGGCGCCGTAAGGAAGACACTCCGTGGAGTTCGATAACGTGTCGAAATGAACGCCCACAAACCTTACAATATCGAACAGCTACAGTAAGAGCATTTCCACTTACCATGTCCTGATTTCTTCTGCCGTGTATTGCACCTTGGGAATAGGCTGTCCGCTGCAACACAGAAAGGCAACAATCACACACTGAGCTAACTGGATTTGATGAATGAATTGGACCCGTTACATCTACAGCAAATCCAATTACTCAGAAGTTTCACCTAAACCGAGAGGATCGGAAGTGTAGAAAGTTAGGTTAGGGGTGTCCATAGAGCCGTAACTGCAAGTCTATAGGAAATGTACAAAGCAGCTTGTCCAGGACTAACATTATTTAGTTACGGTATATGTCGCGAAATAAAACCTCGAGGGGCATATTCTTGCGACGTCACTTTATTACTCAACGCCGTAATTACAATTTAACGTAACTATAACATAAAACGTTGAAGAAGTCGTTTCACAGTCGGTCCTTTCGTGTAACTCACTAAGAATGTTACCAATAGCTCAGATTATTTAGGATGTCCCAGGAGGTCACAGGTCATTCTAAGCAAAAAGTGTATATAGTTCATATGTCCTATTCCGAACGGTTTCCGAAATAGAGCTATGGATATTATCGCCCGCATAAAAGAACGTTAAAATGCACTCAGACGAGCAACACGCCATGTCCTCACACGAGTTGCAAAGTGCGTTAAACTGGACCAAATTTGTCACTTTAACAGTTTTTTTTATTGCTAGTGGGGTGGGACTAAGTGCCTTGTACTTCGGCCACTTCTGGCCTATTGTACCAGCCCCAGATAATAGGTGAGGGTGATTGTCGAGCAATTGGTGGAATGAAGATTGGCTGCGGAAACCGAAGTATTCGGAGTAAACCTGCCCCAGCGCCACTTTGTCCACCACAAATCCCACTTGACCAGGCCCGGGTTCGAACATGTGTCGCATGAATGGGAAGACTTTAACAATAAATATCGGTATTATTAATAGTTGGGAGACGCGGTAGCGTAGTTGGTTGAGGCACTATGCTGCAAGCCGGAAGGTCGCGGGATCGAATCCCTATGAGGTCATTGCATTTCTTTCAATTTACCTAATCCTTCCAGCCGCACTAGGACCTGGGGTCGACTCAGACTCTAACAGAAATGAGTACCAGGAATATTCTTGGAATGTTCTTGGGGGTAAAGGGTGGCCGGCGCGTAAAGCTGACAAATTTACCGCCGTCTATGAGCCGATTGTCTAGAAAATGTGGGAACCTCAACATCTCACAACCCCATGGGCCTCCACGGCCTGTTACAGGGATAGCCTTACTTTACTTTTACTTATTAGAAATAGTACGTAATATCTCTTTCTTATCAAGAAATTTGGAACTGTACAGTAAAATAGCTCTATCTCTAAACAGTTCGGAACAGGACGCATGTACATATGGTCACTTATCCGCGGTTTTGCGTGACCTATAAGACAGGTTTCGTATTTTATGGTCAAATTTATTGGACCTTTATACAACAGGTTACAACAGTTCACAGATCATTGAAACACTGTTATCTTCATCCGACTGTACACTCCACGGGAACCATTCTGACTTCCACCTGAACTGAACTGAACTGAACTGAACGGCCAATTCAAAGTCAAAGTTAAGGTCACATTGCGACTGACGGTCAGTCAGTCAGTAAGCCTTGATATCGGGCCCCATCTGGGGCTCATGACCAGATATTTATTACCGTTTGACAAGTATGGCCTTGTTTTTGTGGGGCGCTCTCTCTGACGAGAGGACAGGTCTCTTTTTGTATATGCTGATGGCACTTTCCAGCGCATTATTTCTCGGGTCCTAGTCCCTTGGGACGCGCTACAATATTTTACACTCTCAGATCTGAGACTTCTTTTCGTCGCCTCCTACGACTCGCAGGGTCACGGCGAAGGTATTCGACCCCGCCACCACACGCGTAAATTATTGTTGGCCTCTTATTACTCGTATATAGCCTCAGGTCGGACCACAGTACAGAAAACTATCCGTTGCGTAGCTATGAATATATGCGAACCCACATAGGAAGCACTCCTTAAAACACTGGTTTTATTGTGGCGTGCATGTATTGAGGTCTTTGCCTAGAAGTGTGTGTACTATATTGTTGGTTGCGTATGTGTTGTGGGCCAGTTTACTGAGTCGTTCCCTAGCAATGGCTCTACGTGTCACAATACACATTTTTCGCTTAGAATGACCGATATTATGACCTACCAGAATATTGAACTTTCTTCGAGGGACGCTCTGTATAGACTCCAGAGGTAGGAAGATTTGTGAATAATGAATGGAAAGGAAGTGGAGAGAAGCGGTCGTGGCCTAATTTGAACTGCTATACCCGAATTTGCCTCGATAAATTGAGCGATGCCACAAAAACTTAGAATAGGTGATCTCCGTGTCGAGATTTGAATCTGCGCTCACCCGAATTAAAAGCAGGAGTGATATTAACTCGGACCGCCCCTGTGATCTAGTAGTCAGAGTTCCTGGCTACAGATCCAGAGGTCCGGGTTCGATTCCTGGCGCTACCAGATTTTCTTAGAAGTAGTGGGTCTGGAACGGGGTCCACTCAGCCTCGTGAGGATAACTGAAGAGCTATTTCAAGGAAATAGCGGCTCCGGTCTAGAAAACCGAGATTAACGGCCGTGTGGATCCGTTGTGCTGACCACGTGTCACAGTCTATCCGCAAACGTTGGTACTAACTTCGCTGACGAGCGACGGTCGCTCGGTCGGTATGGTTAGCTTTAGGGAATACAGGCCACGGAGTTCTTTTTTTATATTCACTCCTCCGCCGCGCTCAGTATGACATACGTGTCTGACTACCAGTCAGGAAGTTCCAAATTCGAATCTTGAGTTCCAACTTTTATAACAAACGTTGGTGTGGCGGTTATGTTATGGAGGTGAGCCAGCCGAATATAATCCCCTGACTCAATTTCTATTGTGTTTCTCCTTAGTTAATCTACGCGAATTCCGGGATAATACTTTCAAAAAGCCCACAACCACCTCCTACCAAATCCTTCTCTACTTTCCAGCTTATTGTCCCTCTCCAAACTCAATCGATGTTACGTATTGTATGCAGCTGAAACGTCAAGTAACGGAAAAATAAGCAAATCTGTGACTGACTCTGCTCGTGGTCTTCTTTGTAACTTCAGTTACGTGTCGGACCCCAGGGACATCGATTAATTTTGTTGTTTATATTTTACACTTACCCTGTATCCTCATCTTCATCTACAGTTAATAAATGATGTGAATAAATCAAACATATCGATAAATATCTGAATTGCTGCAATGATTGATTCGCACGTTCTCTAATACTGATATTTTAATGCAAATGTTTCATGTGCTGGAATAGTAGACGATTTAGGACCTTATGCAATGAGGGTCCATTTAAATTAAGGAATGAGATTAAACTAGCATGTAGCCATGTACTTCTATCATATCTGCCTAGTTTTAGTTTTTTTCCCCCCTTGGGTTTTGGTGTGAGATTGAGTCCACTTGGTCCACTGGTCTATTGTACCAGCCCCGGATGGTAGATGATGAGTGTGGAGAAGTTGGTGGAATGAGAATTGGTAGGGAAAATCGAAGTACTCTGAGAAAACCTACCCCAGTGCCACTTTGTCCACCACAAATCCCACATGACCAGATCTGGGCTCGGACCCTGGCCGCCGCTGTGAAAAGCCGGTGACTAACCCCCTGAGCAATGCCACGGCCTCACGAATTTGCCTAAGTCGCATTTTGGCGAAACATGCCAATGGGCACAACACTTTGATTATGTTTACTATTGTGATGAACAGAAATTGGCCCCGTAAATTTAGAAGGTCGGACAGGACAATTTATTTACTTTCAATTCAACGTGCTACTTGAGGAAGGAGACACGGACGGAATCGAAAATAAAGCTTTCCGAAACACGCCTGAAAGCCATCGCACCACCTCCCACCACAGGTCAAAAAATAAAACATAATGTGATGTTATATTGGGTTTTTGGACTTTATCCATCGTCCTGGTTTTTAAGATAACTAATAAAACACGACGTTTCGGAAACTGGATCTGTTTCCGTCCTCAGGTGAAGGAAAACCCTCTTCTGTTGGGTCCGTTAGAAAGAGCTAGCCTCAATCAGTCCAAAAACCCAATATATCAGTGTGTTATACAGCATCGTCAGAATCCTATAGTAACTAATAGTGTGATGTACTAATATAAACACAAAATAGTGCATAAGAAAAGGGGGTTCATCGATTCCTACTTCATAATTTATGACATACTTCATACCCATCGGCACACCTCCCTTTATCGGCTACATTTCGCTTCACTTAGTGGGGAGTGGAGTCCAACTGGGTCCACTCGGCACGGCGGCCACTGATTGGCCTATTGTACCTGCCCCGGGTGATCATGATGATGGAGAATTTGGTGGAATGAAGATTGGCAGGGGAAACCGAAGTACTCGGAGAAAACCCGCCCCAGCACCACTTTGTCCACCACAAATCCCACTTGACCAGACTCGGGATCGAACCCGGGCTGCCGCGATGGGAAGCCAGCGACTAACCGCTTGAGCTACGGCGCGGCCAACGGTTACGTTTACTCAGTAACTGATACAGTGTCATGAAACAGGGCAGAAACTTGTCGAATATGAACCCCAAAAATTCGCCTTCCTTATAACTTATGCGTTGCTTGTAATACTGCGACTCACGGTCAGTATCGAGCCCCTGACGAGGTTTGAAATCCAGTCCGACAGTTTGGGACTTCGCGCCCGCTGCGGTGACATGGAATGTCTGACGCATGTAGAATGCTGAACTCACAATATATTGGCATAAGCTACATNGCCCCTGACGAGGTTTGAAATCCAGTCCGACAGTTTGGGACTTCGCAATCTGGGGCGCCCGCTGCGGTGACGTGGAATGTCTGACGCATTTCGAATGCTGAACTCACAATATATTGGCATAAGCTACAAATATTTACGGTGTAATCTAAAAGTTTATATTTACAGAGGCTACAAATAACTTACGCATGTACAGTTTGTACAGCTCTCTGCCAGTCCAGGCTTTGTTCGGTAGATGCACCTGATTTTACTCAGTTTGCTCATTCAGCAGAAAGTGAATTATAGTTGGGCAGGATGCGACCATCTTTCAATATTGTCTCATATCCGACTCTACTGGAAGAATTTCAGTGATGATGTGTATTTGTATTGAGGAATGCCAAAGCATATTTTGAACGAATTCGATTATAATTCATGTACAGGAAGATTCTGAATTACTGTCGGGATTTCCATGGTCCATAATTTAAAAATCGACAAAACAGAATAAAACTGCTTAAGGAATAGGATAGTGAAACGCAAAGCGTTTTATTACTTGCAGAATCAATACTGCAGAATGCTAAAAACTTCAAGTTGGGCGCCTTTCGCAGCATGCGAGATGCCCAAGCGTTCTCCAGCATTTGCGGCGTAACTCTTTCCATCTATCTACTTCGATTTCTCGAATGGTGCGAGGGACTTCTGATCTCCATATTCTGCAGTTATGAAGATTCACTCTTCCTGATGCGTGAAACATTACTTCATCACTGAATATCCATTTCCGAAGGTGATTTCGTCATGACCTCACATTTTCCTACAGACATCAATACGATGAATACAGCGCTATAAAATAAAACTACTTGCGTTACATTTTCATATCTATAAGTTCTTTTAATTTATTTCTCCCCATTGAAAAATTATAGGCCACGGAAACCCCAACAATAATATAGAATCACTCTGTAGGTGTACTCCTCTGTGCAGGGTACTGCCTTCTAAGATAGTGAAGTATAATTTGGTAGAAGTGTATTGATGTTTCTGAGGAACATGTTCCTCCGTTTTTCTGAACGAAGAGTAAGCCAACCAACCATCAAATAGAGTTGGATCGACGTTGTACGTCCACCCAAAACGTCGGTAAAATTCTACCAGAATATACGGCTTCACATACGAGAAAAAGTCACGGCCGTGACAGTGGTAAATGTAACACAACGTAAACTCTAATTCAGATCGAAATATGATCTTATGAAAAGGATCGTCGTTCAGAAAGTTCGCACATTGTATAAATTACTAATGACATTAAAGTTGACAACTTTTATTTGCAATATCTTCAGTACAGTGTAGCCCTGTAATAAATACAATTATTAATAATTCATAAATATCTGCTGTGTGGGTTATCTTTGCAAAGTCCAGTAAGTTACGAGAAATAGTAGTGAATGCATTTGGCAGGGACGTGAAACTGCAACTGAGGGTGAGGGACATCCCTGGCTTGAGACGAAGCGAGCTTGTCACTGAGATCACAGGCTTAGTTCCTGCCGTTGCTCCACTCCGTCTTAGCAGCAATCACGGATATCCAATATACAGTACTCAATTTGCGAGCTTAATGAACTTCAAGTGGTTTGTTGAATAACAGGCCAAGCAGCTCTGCTGCGAATTGTATCTAACACCTTGCTTCCTAGCTTTTCTAGCCGCCATCTTCTATTTTGTTAGGAGAAGAGGCTCATGGTATCATATTGGCCCTGTGTCTTTGTATCTGACTGTGTGGATGTGTCCGGTTAAGGACCTTTAGATTTTTTTCATTAAACTTGGTAAGACTATCATGCCACTGGAGGTCATTATATATTTTTAGAGATAGAACTCTTCGGAGTGGCTATTAAAATTGCTCCGTTCTTCTGTCTGAACGTCGGTATGCTTGGAAGAACTCAAAATCTTATGAAAAAATATAATAGAATCTGATATTCAGGAACTCTACTAAAATTTGTCAAAAAAACTTCCAATTTTGGCAAAGATTGTACAAACATATCGAACACGTTACTTGGACACTTACGTTCGTTTCTTCGCGTATCTCAAACAGAAGTCGATAAATACGTTAGATCTCTTGGGAAACAAAATTGTAGAGAATAAAGGAACACACAGTTTAAGTTCCATTTAGTTTCATACATTTTTTCTACAAGTATTATAGTTTTTGACACAAAAGTTTTTTCACGCTATGTGTTCATTTCCTAATATGTACTGTACATCCCATTAACAATATTGGGCTTCCGAATATGCCCGAAATTTTCCAAATTTTCATATTCTCGAAACAATTTAAACAAATATTTTTCCCAAGGTGATGAAAAAAATTCTTAATTATGTTTAAATTACATTGAAATCAGATTCGTTTTTTTATTTAGTGCTCTATTACAGTACGATTTTGAGGCATATACTGAAAAAGTTATTTATATTTAATTTTGGCCGCACCATAGCTCAAGCGGTTAGTCGCTGGCTTCCCACCGCGGCGGCCCGGGTTCGATCCCGGATCTGCTCAAGTGGGATTTGTGGTGGACAAAGGGGCGCTGGGGCAGGTTTTCTCCGAGTACTTCAGTTTCCCTTGCCAATCTTCATTCCACCAATTGCTCCACAATCACCCTCACCTATCATCTGGGCCTAGTACAATAGGCCAGAAGTGGCCGCAGTACAAGGGACTTAGTCCCACCCCACTAGCAATAAAAAAATAATATTTTTAATTTTCCGTATTGTGTGTAGTAACAGCGAACAGTAAAGCCTTTATATTACTCATTCAGTATGATCCTACAATTTTCACTTCTCGTAGTCTGAACAAGTATCAACTAACATCGAATATCTTCAGATAAATTTACTGTTTGCTTACGATAAGGAACGAGTACATCACTTTCTTAATTATCCTGTTAAAATACGGAAGCTCTGGAATTCTACGACCCGTTGAAATCAACCGTAAACTGACAATGTTAATACATCGGTGGCTATTAAGAGTTCTGTCTTCCCGGCTATAATGTCCTGTTGTCTGGTGAACGTCATCAGAAGTTTCAGAGGAACATGTTGCCTCAATCTTCGGGCTGGAAGAGTAAGCCAAGCAAAAACCAGCTTGGAACATTGGTTACTGCACTGCATGGCGTTGTATCCTAGAAAGGCGAACTCTTCAAGTTATCAACAGTTTGATGGGTATATTAATATCAATTAGGCGTCTGAAAAAATATGTTTCCTAGTGGAGTTTGAAGTCATATCTAATATATTCCCTTTTATTTCCTAGTCTGTATTCCACAAGATGATTCTAAATTATTGTCAGGGCTTCCATGGCCTATCATTTTCAAACTTGAAATAAAAAATTAAACTGCTTATGGAATATGAAAGTGTAACGCAAAAAGTTTGATTATTTATAGAATCAATGCTCTATTTTAAAAACATACTTGATGAATAAAAACGATCGATCAAATTTAAAACAAATAGACTTTAATGAAAGGGATAAGAGCCCTATGCATGCTTCTACAGGAAAAGGAGATGCAGGAAAATGGAGAAGCAGACAAGAGGTCCAGATTAATGTCTCACATATTTTGCTGCAGCCCGCTGTGTCAGTCACTACAGATAATATTCATTGTATCCCAGTCAACACAGCACCATTTCCAGAAGGTGGATTTTGCTGACTATGACAATATATTACGGCACATGATACAATAATTGTAACTAAAATTCCGAACTGAAGAAGGCACATACTTGCCGAAACATGCCGTTCTAGACTGCAAACTCGACCTGCTGGAGAGAGTGTTGTGCTGACGGGAATATAATAAATATTTCTAACGTTCGTAATTCTGAATGGACCTCAAAGCACCCAACGCTTCTGAAGGAAGAAATTGAGTAAGGAAAGGAAAGGAGAGACATGAATGAGTGGACACGGCTTATGGAACAGCAACATGCACTTCTGAGTTGAATCTGCACAGCAACGCAAAGGAGATGAGTGAAACAGTCAGCTTACTATTTGTATGAGTTGGCGATGTCCGCGAATTGCTCTCGTCTCTTGCGGTACACCGGGTCCTTGAAGCCCTGCGAAACCAACAAACAAGGACTCGCTAAGTAGTGGCCTGTGTATTGTGGAGACCTGCATGAGAGAGTGTCAGTAAATAAATACATAAAAAAGAAGACCTGCTAAGGGACCGCAGAAGAAACGTGGCGTAACAATTATGAATTATGTAAGTTTTGAGGTTTTCACGGCGATGACAATGAAGAGAGTCGTCTTCTGGGTTTAGGCACCGTGTATTCTTCGTGTTGGCCGACGTTTCGGAGGAACGTAGCGCCTCCATCTTCAGAGCAGTTAAATGGCTGGAATGCGGAGAGCAGTAGCTGTGGTGATAGGATGTGAAAGGCGCTGCTTATATACGAAGTAGGCAAGGGGGTTGATTAGGGAGAACGGACCAATGGGAGCAGTGGGGAGCGATTAAGACCANTCTCAACAATCTCGACAGACGTGAAACATCCTTTCCCTCAAGAGAATCCAACTAGCCACACCAGTTCTTCGTCATGTCATTGACGTCAATAGCCTGTCCTCAACCTACCGGTTCTTCTTGACTACCGCACTTCCTAGTGCTATTGACCTCAAGTTTCCTGGACTCACTGGCCGTTCCCCCCCCTCCCTTAGTCACACACCATATATGGTCTTAATCGCTCCCCACTGCTCCCATTGGTCCGTTCTCCCTAACCAACCCCCTTGCCTACTTCGTATATAAGCAGCGCCTTTCACATCCTATCACCACAGCTACTGCTCTCCGTATTCCAGCCATTCAACTGCTCTGAAGATGGAGGCGCTACGTTCCTCCGAAACGTCGGCCAACACGAAGAATACATGGTGCCTAAACCCAGAAGACGACTCTCTTCAATTATGAATTAGTTCTGCAGAAGCCCGGAGAGGAATGAAAGAATTTGCAGTCTGCAATGAGAAGAAAATTCAAGACCGGAAAATTAACACCGTCCCTTCGAACACCAGAGAAACTTTACTGGACAATTTTAGTATTTTAGACTCTGAACATTGGTCTAGAGGTAACTTGTGCTCGGTGGGTTTCCGGTTCGGATCTCGGCCGGGATATTGGCTATCCTCACCGAGATTTTACTGGTTTTTCTCGCTCCATCCAGGCAAATTTTGTGAGAGTGCCTCGATTAGACCATGACCACTTCCTTCCAGATCCCTTCCAGTTCATTCCATCAGTCAACGCTGTATATCCTCGAAACTGAAGTCGTCTTTCAATAACGCACGAAAACAAAATCTGGGTTTCCGGATACGGCTCTTGAGAAACACCGATTCTATTTGGGACCTGAAGCACAGTAACCTTTGTGCGGTCGGGTTTATCCGCGGAATTCTACGCGAAGGGCTTCGAGCGTTCGGGATTCAAGTCTCAGTGCTTACTTCGAGGCTTCATGTGACTGGATCGAAAACGTAGATCGTCCTCGAGGGTTGCTATTGAACCTCCATCATAAATACGCCAAATATTTACATATTATTATTAGTTTCTCAAATTTGAAAAATTCTGGGAAGAGAGTTAAATTTGTACTAAGACAGTGATCTTCATAAAATAGAAATATATATTAAGCCATGGTTTGGTCTGGAGGAAATATTTTCGGAAAAGCTAAAATAAACCTTAATATCTACTTTATATATTTCATTAACAGTTATTATGTCCATATTGTCACCACACACTGCATTTTACCCATCTAAACTCTGTGATCTTCCATTGCATTAATACTCCTATGTAATATTCTGAACTCAGCTGCAACAATGCAGAATTCACTGTAGAGTTCTTTCGACAGTGTACGGTATAGACACTGACAACGTCCCAAAATAAGCCACAGAAATATACCTTCCGCTTAGACACATTTTAATTATCTATCTACGACTCTACAGCCCTTGCGAACCTCGGCCGCTCTTCAGTTTCTTAATCTATACAAATCCGGTAAGAATCTCTGGCTGGGGGATCAGCCCGTCACAAGACCGCTATCTACACAGAGAATAAATGCCTTGAATGGGATTCGAACTCACAATCCTAGTGTTTGAACTGGCGAAGGCGGTTCATGCCTTAGACCGCGCGGCCACTGTGATCGGCATATTTTAATTAGCCTGAATTATTTTATACGAAACTCAAATTTCATGAACATGTTGCATAATACTTCTGTCCTGAGCTAAAAATTTTGTTTGTGTGTATATAGTTTATAGGTGATATACGTGTACTGTCCCAGTACTACACGCTTGTCCCAGTATTGTCGAACGCCTAATATCTCATTAATGTTTGATCAATGCTGATGAATCTTCCTTACGGAATAAACCTTGAAAGAATAATGTTGGACACAATTTTGCATGAGATCGATAGCAATGATATTGCACTATTCTTCAGCTAGACTTATGGACATTTTAATAAATAAAGATGAACAGTAAAGTTTCCCCCGTGCTTATTTAGCACTAGGTCATGAAGACGTTTGAGGAGTGAAGAAGGTACAACTCTACGCATTCTATACTTCGGCATTAGATGGAAGACATAGGTTAGGTTCACTTCCCGGCCGTTTTATCCTTCTACCCCGATACCCACTGGACACGAGGCTGGGTATGCCGGTTTGTACGCTGTAGTGAAAAGACAAATGTCTTGCCCCTGCTGGGACACAAATCCGATCCCTCAGTCGACATGCCGCAGGTACAACGGTAGATTCCTTCCACTGCTGTGGCAGTTCGAGCGTTGTTAAACAGACTGAAGGGCAAGAGGCCGGCTATGGACGGTCATGAGGACACCACAAGCACTCACCGGGTGATCAGCATCGAGATCTGAGCCGTACATTAAGACGCGCTGGGCTTTGTCCAGGTCCGATATCTTGCGCGGGAACCACGGCATCTCCCCGAAATCTAAACACAAAGAATCAAATCCAGGTTATCGCTAATGACACGTCTTTAAATGCCTCTACCTGACAGATGTGAAGCAGCAGAGAAAGCTCAGCGTTCTCAATGAAGACTTACCGATTTCCTTGGTTTTCGGTGGAACTTGTAACTGCCTCCCAATTCCAGTTTTCTATAGGCTGACGGTCTACGAACTAAAGGCCCAGAATTCGATTTTTGTGTGAATACTAGGATTATTTTCTTCACCATCGTAGTAAGGAAATATCTGTTGCCCTCTAAACATCTCTTCTACTGAGTACTGGTGATTATTATCTCAGAGATGAAACTGTAAGCTTGTGAATTTGATCCAGAACTGGGATAAGGGGATAAGGTATATTTTCTGTGTTAACAGAAAACGTTCATACAAGATTTTACACAGCTAGATACAAACCTCTACAAGTTGCCGCCATTAAATCGAAAGAAAAGCCCAGGTATCGTGTATGTGCCATGTAATTTATTACTTTTGGACAAAATTGTTTGAATATAAAAGGGCAATTATTAAACACACATGTCAACACTGAATTAAGACTCATCACAATCGTTCGTATTCAGATTATCATAATACACGAGACTGCAGATAGTACTTGCTGTTTTCGCGTTGCACGGAGAGCAAAGAACAAACGCAATGGGGAAATGTCTCTGCCCTCGTGTTATACGATACCTTAGAAGCTGCTCTATGATTTTCAGTTAAATCTGGTATTTGAGACTATTCTAAAGAATTTTGGGATTATTAGGCTTCAGATTCTGCATAATAAAACAGTTGGACTATAACAATAGAAGAGCTATGTTTTCTACGTGGTGTATGCAGGAAAATGTCAGAGCTGAGTGCATTCTGTACAGGAGCCTGTGAAGAGAGGACTTGAGCGCGTGAAGCTGAAAAATATCGACTGTTAGAAGCCGTTGCCAGGAAACTTTTAGTAACATACTGAGAACACTATACTGTGTGCTCTAGTGAAATATAAATTGTGGACATAGCGATAATGTTGTAGTTATTTGTAGTTACGTCCTGTAAGCAGTCAAAAATCTATTCGCCGATCCAAACACAGACTATAGTCATTCTAACACGTGCGAACAGGTTACACGAAATGTAACACATTTCCAAAACAGAGGCAAAGCCTAGATGAAATTTTAAGAATTTCACCAATACGGTGAGTATTAATGAAATATCCCTACGAGGAAAATCATTTCATATTACTCAGCATGACAGGCCTAGAAACTTTCAGTACTGCGATTATCCTTATAATATTCGATCTGTATTAAAATAAGTGAACATAAAATCAAATTAAATATGCAAAAAGCAAAGTACGCATCTACAAAATAAATTTTGCTCTCTTGTCACTTAGAAACATCTCCACGGCAATGCACAAAAATTTATCTTAAAAAAAAGTACAGAAAATCTTAGAAAGTTGAAAGATAGCGCTACGCACTTCACCTATTTCTTTCCACCAGCAAATAAATCCAGACCGGAAGTGTCAGTGCTTCTAAATCAGAGTTCTCGCTGGTGGCATGGAGACGGTTAAACCGTCGTACAGATTTTACACAGATGTGAGATAACCCACCGAAACTTGCTGCAGCTGACAGCGGTGTGGGTGGAAGAGGGGGCAAGTCGGCGCCATCTTCGTACTGAGCTAAGTTGATGGCCGATACCTCGCGTCTCAAGTGGCTCACCAAATCTTCCATTCTCTTGTTGTCGCACTTCACGTCCACCAGGATCTCGAACTCAGACTCCCGCCGGTTCGAAGGTCTCGATTCAATATGCAGCACATTTACTCCCAAATCCTAGGAATAATATTGCAAATTATGTTATATACACTGGTCCAGTGATTAAGGCTAGCTCTTTCTAAGGGAGCAAACAGAATAGGTGTTTTCCCTCACGCGAGGACGGAAACAGATCCAGATTTCGAAACGTCGTGTTTTTCTTAGTTATCTTAAAAACCAGGACGATGGATAAAGTCCGAAAACCCAATATCTCTGTACGTATGCAGCTGTTTTGAAAGCAGGACATCTGTGCACACGGCCTATCCGGCGGCAAAACACAAACGGTTGGCAAAGATCTGCCTAATTTTGAGTATTACATCAGCTAAATGACTTGTACGATCACTGGCACTACCGGTTTGTAACCCCATGCTATCTTTGGTTACGAGATCCACAGTCTTCGTGCGTAGTGCCCTAGAAGGGGCACTACGCACGCTTTATTTCAACTCTGAAAAGCACTGCACTCACCTCTCGCATAGCCAGTTGTAGGTTTAGAAAATAATGCATTGGGGACATAGACAATTGCATCTCCGTAAAAATACTAACTTTGCACGAATAAAATATATTGCAATACATCCTCCTAAGTACACAATTTCGTTCCAGACAAAAGTAGAACAGATATAATTATGATATTAGCTCAGAGTGTAGCGATGTAAACAGAGCGGTGTCACATACAGCAGGCCAAGGCTGAGTGTAATGTCGCATGGACGTGGGGGCGGGTATCTTCTGCTTGTACTGCAACACTGACCGGACCCTCCATTTGTCCGATATGAATCTACGTATACCGCGACCGACAGCTCCCGGTCTACTGACCTGCGCTGACACCGAACTGCTTTATGTCATGGCACCGTCGAGTGACAGAAAATTCCAAGTATCAGAGAGGAGCCAGCCGTTAATATGAAGGCAAGAGGAGAAGCAAGGGGGTAGTCTGACACAACAGCGAGAAGTAGAGCGTTAACAGTTTGTACTTACGCACAATGAGTGTGGCAGACAGTATCATGTATCATAACTTGATTTCCCGAGAAACCCAGTAGGGGTAGCTTGCACCCGCTGACATACTCAGTACTACAGAGATTATATACGATCCATGACGTTATCAGACAAAAGGTCATTATTAGTTCTCGTCAGGAACGGGCCGTGGCAGCATTTCACGAGATTCACTAAGGATGCAAGATTATCTAATCCTCGTAAAACCAGTTTCAGTGGCAACATGGCGGTTTAAGGCAGATTAACACGCGAATATAAGTCGGATATATTTCGGTAGACCGGTCACGGTAGCCGAGCGGTCTAAGGCATGTACTGTCTTCGCTCTCTTGGAAACAGGGATCGTGAGTTCGAATCCCACCAGGGCATGGATGTTTAGTTTGTGTGTGTGCGTTTTTCTGTGTTTGTGTACAGGTAGAGGCCTTGCGACTAGTTGATCACCCGCCCAAGGAGTCCTACCGAATGTGTAAGATCTATAAAAACCGAAGTGAACGGAGAAGTTCATGGAGGTAGGCCTAGGCCCACTGGGGCTGTAGTGCCAAGGAAAAAAAAAATATTTCGGTAGTGTTTTCGGTTGATAATTTGGTCACGTAGAACCGGCTTTTCCGGTTCTCTGCGTTGTTTTTCTGTCCTGAATTTGTGACATATTAAAACTTGTAAAGAAACACCACCACAGTATGTTTGCAAATTTCTGTCAGATATACTGTGCCTACCCTGGGGCTAGAAGGAACGGATTTCGTTAAGTACCATTAATATTAATGCAATAAATATGAAGTTTTCTCACCTGGAAAACTTGAAGGGCACGAGCGAGACCCCCGACCTGGTTCTTGAGGGAGAAGACCACGGAGTTGTGGGGATTCTTGACATCCTGAGAGAGCTCGCAAGTTCTCACAGACCCGGAAGATTGTCCATTAGCCTGGACAGAGAAGTGCAGCAGCATTAGTAGAACACCACCACTACAGACACTGAACAGACAGTTAAGTTCACCATATCCTAAAAGCGGGTAATATATGCCTCGTGCAACAATTCCGGCTGGATACTCGGCTACTGATGATTTAAAGCAAAGACACACATAAATTAGAGGATTTAATTGCGTGTTTCCAGTTTTTATGCAACAAAACATCAGGGCCGAAGTGAGGAGAATTATAAATTACAAAGGCTGTTGCTTTTTCCTAATTGCGAAAGCGTCAACGTATAACTTGAAATACAGCTGCAATTTTCTGTCAGAACATAATAAGAATACAATAGACGTGAAATGACACGTATAAGCTTATATGTTATAAGAAACTTATCTTCAGCTGATCTGTGATGATGAGTGAATCGAATATGTCATGAATTCCGGTGTATTGAGCCGGTATTCCGGTCTGCATCTGCGTTTTGTATGATTATTTGAGTATATCATTATTAATTTGCGTGCAATGGAATCAAATAACTTTTCTGAAAGTTACATTAGTGCTTTAGTAAGAAACAAACTGTGTTGCTATGAATCTCTATTTAGGCTGTTATATATGTAAACAACCACTAATATTAAGTCAATCTTCAACAACCCCGAGACAGTTCAACAGATTTGTGTAAGGGCCCTTCAAACAGAGAAATTTATCGAATTTTTTTATTGCTAGTGAGGTGGGACTAAGTCCCTTGTACTGCAGCCACTTCTGGAATTTATCGAACTAAGTCCGATGGTTTTTGAGTCATATGATATGATATAAGAGTGCTGTATGCTTAGTAATCTCGAAAACTGTATGTCATAGGACGAAGAGTATTATATGCAGTATATATACATATATATAGTATGTATTTCTTTTTTCTTTATAAGTTTTCCGAAATATTTTTCGCTCTTATAAATACTTATTAAGTTTCACTCAAGATGCATGAAAAATGAGATTTAAATTAGGAGATATTTTTTCCGATTTCATCAAAATTGTAATTACTTTACCTTCCAGCAATTTCAAGCTAAAATTTTATATGAATTTCTTGTTTGTTCCTATGTACTATTTCACCCCCTCCTTCCTTCATTAACCTCAACAAGTTTAGGCGAAGATTTATAATTACGCTAGTCATTAAATAATTTTATATATCTTCCTCTTACTTCACTTTCGCTGTAATCTCGTATACACTAAATCGATATTCGTATCTCGGAGTTTGAGATCGAGTGTCAATTCGGTATGAATTTTACTATATTTCAGATTTGAGATTCCACGGTACTATGTTCTGGCATGTGACGAAATGTAGTCTAGTAGGCAAATATTATTTAATATAGTTCAATAACTATATGTAATTTGGACCACATTAAACAGACGGACTATTATTGTATACGAGAGCCTAATGTTATTTTTAAATGTTTTCATAAATACTAACTGAAAATAAAAGCATCAGAAGGAAAGGTTTGTCCATTAATGAGAACATTTTAAGTACATATGTGAAACAGTGCATAAGACAACAACCATTATATACACAAGTGTGGGAAACACACCAATCTGCGTCACGTTATGTCCTTTTTGAAAGCTTTTGTTCCGATGCTTGTAAAGATAGTAACATGAGAGTTATCTGAGAAAATATTTCTTGAGTTACTTTTTCCTCGGACAATGTTCAGCACTTATCGAGTATCGAAGCCGGTATACACACCTGAGAAGGTGCCGAGCGTGGCGGCCCTTCCTTCAAGGCCCACTCCTCTCCAGTGCGGTAGAGCCACAAGCCCAGGAGCCCTTTGCCGGAACCGCTCATGGCGACCTGTTGCTACTGTTACTGTAGTGACGCTGTGCCTGCACAGACGCTCGTAATAAACCAGCGCAGCGACGCCCTGCGCCGTTCAGCACTTCCATTGGCTGCTTAACTTGTGGCCCCATTGGCTGCCAACGACACTTCATCTTCACCTTTTCATTTTTTCCACTGGGCACTACTCTTTCCTCTTCTTCTTTTCTTCCTCCTCATCTTTCCACATGTTCTCCACCCACACTTCCCCTTCAGATTCCTGTCGGTTAATCTGCGCTGTGTCTTCTTCCTCAGACTGTTTTGCGTCGCTGTCAGTATCTAGATACATGGCGTCCAGTTGCAGGACGATGAGTGAATTGGAAAGTATCTAGAAGGAAGCGACCGTGGCCTAACGAAGTACTATCCCAGTATTAGCCTGGGGGAATGAGGAAAACCATGAAAACTTCAGCCAAGACAGTCGGTGTCCTGAGCAAGATTCGAACCCAGCGTTTCTTGAATATATGTCTACAGCTTTCCCACTTTTCCGGTCTATGACGCTGAATCAACTGCTGAGATTATGACTGGTTAATTATCAGATTTTTTACATACCCCTCATTCTGACTCTTGGCACAGAGGACGGTTGCCCTGATAGATTTGTAGTGTTGCCTCAGTGTAGGGCCGTCAAAATTCATGTACTTCTACAATTGGCCAATTTGTGCTTCTTGCTATGAGAATTATCATCATGACGAACCCTTTAGGACTGATACATTCTGATATATGGTACACAGTAGGGGCCAATTTATTTCGCTTCGATTTAAAACTGCGGGATTTAGACACTGACTAGGAAATTTACCCTCTGAATATAGGGCAGTTTCCGCCAGTTCCCCTTGTAGAGCCATTGCCTGAACATGTGACAAATCATCTGATATAATCGCAGTGTCTTTTTTGATATGTCGGTATTGTCGGAGCAAGTCCGGAACTGGACTGGAATTCCATTTCCAAAAATGATGGACTGATTCCGACAGTGAACGTGAAAGCGTAAACGGCCTGTCGCTTAGCTCAACAAATTGCAAATAGAAGAGCGTAAAATCCCTGCTTACGCAAGCCGAGAACGAACACGCTGGATCGGATAACTTGCCGGTTTTACTGTGTTTACTTTCATTAAATATTTATGTATCCTGTGTTCCCATTTCTCATCATTTCGATTTTTATTATGCTTCAAAACGTGTCGCCTGTCTCTTTAATGACCGCTTTTACGGCATTTCTTTGTTTTAGCTCCTGCTTTAAATGGAGTGCACAGGAAATTCAGTGAGATGGTTGGAAAAATATTGCGATTTGAATATGCAGTTAATTAAGAGAAATTATAGGCCATTAACCATTTCAATCCTGATATTCTGAGCATACAGACATCAATATGCTTTATGTTTTCAGAAGAATTTTAAATTCAGTTTAAGGAACACTATAGATTGTTACTTTAAAATGTCAGGAGAGAATGGAACCGGTCTGTTTCCACTAGAAATATCGTACACTGAAAATATATGCCCCGAAACACTGTTTTCAAATTGACACATCTCGTTTCTGACGGGGAAAATATTAAAATTATTTTTTTTTATTTATTCTGTTTTTTAAGAAGGATAATTCCATTTATGTAAACATACTGCAAAATAATACCTTTTCGCAACTCTGTGGATCTGTTTCATTCTCGAGGCCAAACCTTTAAAATTCATCGGGGGAAAATAAATATCATAATTCTTATTTTCACGTTCAGTCTCCAGACGTTACTAGTGTTTCGAATTTAAACAAGTTACAAAATAACGGTTCTGACTTTCCAGCCCTGTTATTGCCTCATGCCAGAGTCAGTTTTTGTTTAATTACATCGAAAATCTCCAGAATTACAAAAGTACGTAAATAGACGGGACATGAAATGAGTGTTCCTTCTCTTTACAAATTCTGTTGGAAATCTTTTGGCTCCGATAAGCATTTAGCGAGGTATGCTCAAGCCGGGATAGGGCAGTCGGTATAGCGACTGGATACCGGCTGGACGATCGAGAGGTTGGAGTTCGAATCCCGGTATTGCCAAGAATTTTCTCTCCTCCACGTCGTCCAGACCGGCTAGGGGTCCACCCAACCCCCGATTATAAATTTTCATGATACTCCATTCAGAGGTTCCAGAATTGACTTTTCTGCAATTGATCCTTCCAAAAACACTTAAGGAATCGATATTAATATAATCTTACTTAATAAAAGAAAACTTAAGCACGTTCTTCATGTAACTGGAACGAAGTGGAAAAGTGTTGACCCAGTTCATATTGGAGAAGGCTCTGACGTCTGCTGTTACTGGAGTTGATGACGAGGTTATTTAACAGAGCGGGTTCAACGTCAGATATTACACAATAACAAACAAACTAAGTACACGAAGGTGAACCCTTCTGGAGAAGTTGCCAGTTCTGCAGCTACTCAACAACTTCTCAGAATTTTATGGAACCCGAAGGTTCATTACCGTGTACACAAGAGCCCTCCACTGGGCCCTATCCTGAGCCAGACCAATCCAGTCCATATTCTGTTTGTTATTTATGTCTTGGTATTCCTAATGGTCTCTTTCCTTCTACCTTTCCCACCAGTATCGTATATGCATTCTTGGTCCCCAATTCGTGCTACGTGCCCCGCCTATCTCATCTACTTTCACTTGATCGTTCTAATTATACTTGGCATTACACAACTACAAATGAGATGAAAGTGTGATCATGAATTCCCAAAGTTCAAGAATTTGAAAGGAGGCAAACGAGTCCTATCTAAGACTAACATCCCATCACTTGTATAAAGAGACTGAGGAAAACCATAAGAACAGCCCGCCTGGATAGCCGGTAACCAGGCTGAGATCCAAACAGAGAACTGCCGGTATACCAACCAGCTCTGCTGGCCACTTCACGGCTTCCGCAAAGAGTGCTCCCCACCCATGTGCTCAGATGTGATGTGCGATGTGCGATGTCTGATGTCTGATGTCTGATGTCTAATGTGCGGTGTGCGATGTGTGATGTGCGGTGTGCGATGTGCGATATGCGATGCGACGCGACGGTTTGGTCTCGGGAGCCCATGGGAGAGATCGCAGCTGACGAGGCGACGCGAGGAAATATTTGTTCCAATCTGTGCCGTGATAACCAAAGGGAAAACATATTTTCACATGAAAATTAAACTTTCTTCAAAGATTGGTAAAAGAAATGTTTGGCGAGCTGTGGAGCGATGTTTAATTGGTATTGTTCAACGCTTCCAGGACAGTGGTAGCTACATGTAGCCCACCACATCACTAAAGACGCACGACATTTCATCGGAGCAACATATCCGTGGGGTTCATTTGGTTCTCACAATAAAAAGGTATCATTTCCTTTAACATCTCTAGCCGATCGATTTTGTGATAGAAATATTGCGCGTTCTCTTTGATGTCAGAAACGGCTTAGAGAGACTGGTCTTCAATTCAAACAACTAGTTCATGAACACCCAGGCTAATGAGCATTGATAATGTCCTGAATACATTGACATGCTAAGCAGGTGAATAATGTACGTTTACGTACAGTTCACTTTTACATTACACTCTCATGTATTTCCTTGCATGAAGTCGATATTATACTACAGTTATAATTGTGACGGTTGGATTGGCCGATGTTATCTTGTTACACTCGTAGCTGACTCCGTGGAGCACTCTTAAGATGATAGCTGGAGAGTTAGCCAAGAAATTCCCCGACTTTTATTAAACCAGAAAGTTCATTGACGTGTTCACAAGAGCCAGACACCTAACCCTATTATCAGCCAGATGCCTCCACAACTGCCGATCACAATGGGGGCGCGGTCTAAGGCATAAACCGTCTTCGACCGCTCGAACGCTGGTATCGTGAGTTCGAATCCCAATCGAGGCATGGATGTCTGTGTGCGTTTATTGTGTTAGGTAGCGGCCTTGCGGCGGGCTGATCCCCTGTCCAAATATTCCTACCGAATGCGTACAGATTAAGACACTGAAAAAGCGGCCAAGGCCCAACAAAGAGGCTGCAGACCCGTAGAGCTGGAGATGCCTCCACTACCTGGTTCTTGTTTGAGATGTACTAATGTAATTCTCCTTCCTTGTAAAGTTTTATTAATGGTTCATCTTTTCATACTTATGTCTACACTAATTATAAAGAAATTCCTGGCCGTACTTTTAACTCTCCTAGGTTCTCAGATGGCGAGAGGACGAGGAATAAAAATAAGGCGAGGAAGCGCATAGGTGGGCAATGTCGGACCCGTTGCCGTACATTCGTTGATGTGTATTACTACGTCGAATCTATCTCTTCCCATGGCTTTACTGTACTGCGACCATGTAGAATAGAAAGGAAATTTCAATTCTGCAATAGACTAGACTACACTACACTCTATTCGCTTTACGCAGTATATTCTATGCAAAATAGATGGGTCCGCCATTTGCAGAATCTGGGCTCAATTCCGTTAGTGTGTCAGCAGCCGAAACTTCTGGAAGCCACGAAAGTGTTACGAAGCTGTGACGTGTCATTATGAAATCTGTTCAAGTGCTTTCAATGGTGCTGAAGAGACAGACCTTTTAAGCAAGAGAGAAAAAAATTATTTATAGTTATTTAAAATGCGTTTTAATCCATTTCTGACTGAACACAGAGCAGTGGATGGAACATGATGGGCAAATATATTTTGAATAGTGTTTACACAAAGAGCATTTACCTTCTGCAAAAGCTGCATCAGTAAGGCTGAGGAGCCATAAAGTGGAAAAAAAGAAAGTACATTGATGCCAGTAACTTTTTATTATATCACAAATTTCGTTTAAAAATAGCAATTGTCTCAACCGTGCGTTTCATGAATTCAAAATATCAAAATGGAAGCGCGGTCTGAGACGCAGATGTGTCGTGCTAAAGAGAAATTTCGAATATATGGAACTGAATGTTATAGCTATTTCACCTAAACAAATACCTGAAAATGTTATGGAAAATTATTATAATATAGTTAACATGTCCATGGGGAATAGCTATAAATTTCAGGACTCTTTTTAGCGCGGTCCAACCAGAGGTCGCCAAAATACACC